GGCGGCAGCGCGGCGCGGCGTGAGGGGCGAGCGAAGGCGGGAATGTCTGCGAGAGCGCCGCCGCTGGGAGCCTTGAACGTTAAACGTTAAATCCTCGCGGTGTCCGGCTCGAGCAGAGCGGCGACCCACGCGGAGGGCGCACGCCGGCGTGGGGGCTGCGGCGGCGGCAGGCTCGAGGCCCCCAGCTTAGCCTCCTCACCTTCTTGGTGCCGGGGCCTCCCGCGATTCGTGACACTCCTGTCAGGGAAGAGGAGCGCCCAGGCTGCCCACCTAGAGTCTCCTGCTGGGGGGACATCGCTTCCATGAAGAAAATCTGCAAGCAAATCCCAGCCTAGGAAGAGGCTAATTGGTCATGTCCGCGGCCGGCAGCTGGAGGGGCGACGACGCGCGTGCCGAGGCGCCACCGTCGTGCTCAGGTAGGGAGCCGAGCTCCGGTGAGGGCGGCTCGCCTCCCGTCGGGGCCATGTACCGCAGCCTGCGCGCGGCGCCGCGGGCTGCAGGCGATTACAGCCGCGACCGCCAGTCAGAACCACGGCCTGCCCCGCCTCGGGCCCGCCCCCTCCGCTCTGGGCGCGGGAGCCGGGACCGCCCCCCGCCTCCCTCTTCAGGCTTCCGCCGTCCCCTGAGGGCGGGCAGCGCGGGTGCCCGAGTGCATATAATATTAGGGACCAGGCGACTGACAGTATCGGACCTATGCTCCCAGTGGGCCCTGCCCTAAGAAGCTCACCCACTCAGGTCATGCACGAGGGCCTGAAATGCATAACAGTCGGCTCTCACGCAGCCCTGCCCACTCCCACCCGACCCCTTCCTTTCCCGCGGCGTCCGGGGGAAAGGCGCCCCTTCAGCGCTTGCATCTGTGGAGCGGTGGCGACCTCAGCCTGAAACAGAGGAGTTGCAGTGATTCCCCGCCCGCTTTCAGCGGACTGCGGAGAACCCCCACCCCCACCCTACGCCCCAGGGCTCGGGATGGGGTTGCACGGCTCAGAGTGCAGCGGCTGTTTAAATTTGGAAGCCCCATGTCATCGCTTGACCTCTTGTGCAGTTCTCAATCGCTAAGGCTAGACTGGTAACACGGCTGGCTTAGGCAGCCGCTGGGCAGCAGCCCTTGCACGTTTACACCCGCGGTTTCCGCTGTCTGTGGGTGCAAAGATGCGGGCTTTCCGAATGTGAAAGCGCAATTAAGGAAAATGCAGGCAGAGAGGACGTTGAAATCTGGCTTAGCTATTGAGAAGGCTACAATATGTGGAAGTGTTTATCAGATATCTGCGCTGAGAGCATAGTTTCCTGTTAGCCCAAATACTGGCTTTTTCACCCCCTTCCTGCCTGAAGAGTAATCAGAGGAGGGGATTTGGAGCCAACCTGTGTTGAGTTAGTATTGCTGCGCTTCGCAGGACTGGCTGACTGGTGCGGAGGATTCGGTAGGTGGCATTCTTCCCTTGGAGTAAGGACTAGGAAAAAAAAAAAAAAAATCCGGCAGCAAATTAATGAGGGGAAGGATACCACTCTATGATACTACGTGGTTGCGGGATTGGTTTGTTTTTATGATAAGAAGGAAAAAAAGCAAGGTTCCTGCCGGGTTGGGCTGTTATTAGGACAGGTTGTAGAAGAATAGAACTCTGGCAGGCTCTGTTCCAAGCAAGGGATTCTGTCCAACACACACACACACACACACACAACCAGCAACACCACCAACCACCAGGTTTCTTATTGTGAAAATAATGGAGATACAGTGTTCCAGTTCATTTTAAGCCTTGTCCATATCACATTGTTTAAAGTAGGCTTGTATAGGCCTTTATGAATCATATGAATATGCACACACATATATGGGATTTATAATGCATATATAACTGGAAACACTCAGTTTTTAAGGGGGACTCTTTGCAGCTGAAACCAGTGTGCAGCTACTGGACTTTGCATCCACCGTAGAGTTTTATCATGAATTTTGCACTGCAGAGCCTTGCATTTCCTCTATTTCGTGTTTAAATCATCCTTTTATGACTTGTTTGCCTTGTTTAATTCCTATCATGAATGGACATTCCCAATTTTTCGAACTATGCTTCATTTTTTTATTTCAGTAACATTTATCTCAATACCTAAGGTAACATTATATTTAATGTATATTCCCTATACCTCAGAGGAATGTAAGCTTCCAGAGAACAGGAATCTTTTGTCCTTTTTTGTTCATTTTTTTTTTTTTACTTTTTTTTTGTTCTAAATGTTTATTTTTTTTTTATTGCCCTAACGCAGTATCAGGCGAAATCATTGTTTGTTGTTAAATCAATCAATGAAACACACAAAGAATATGAGAGATCTGGAAGGGCCGGACTAGAGTTGGTTGTTTCACTCAGAAATCTCCATGAATCATAGAATATTTTTGTGTGTGTGACAAATGCCTTGTGCTCCTTCAAAGTATTATTTTTACTACACATGTGGAAAACTCACTTTCACTTCTTAATTTGGAAGTGCTTTTATTCTGAAATCGGTTAGTTTGGGTTTGCAGAGAAAACCATCTCACCCCTCCCCCATGAGGAGTTTTGAGGCAAGTCTCACTTCCTAAAGAAATTTGGGCTACTTCAAATTATCACCAGAGTAATGTTTGAGCACAAATCCAATCACATCACTCCCTTTGGCTTCTTATGTTTATAGGATAAATTTCAAATGCCATAGTATGATGTAAAAGGCTGCTCAATAATCTCATCCCCCCAGTTCTTTCTCACTGTCCCACTCAACTTTTTCTCCTTTTAAGAACTCACCCTGACTTTTCACATCTTCATGAGTTTGAACCTGCTATTCTCATTGTCTCTTATATTTTCATCCCCATTACACTAGTACATGGTGCTTAGAAAATACCCAATAAATATTTGTTGAGGAAATCTTTAGGACTTCAATTAGAAATTACCTCAGAGAAAGTTTTTTTCTTTATTTCAAGGTTAAGTGCATCTCTTTAATTGTAACATAACATTTTGGGGGTGCTTACTTTATACCAGATACTGTCCTAAGCATTATATATCTATGAATTAACTTTTTTTTTTAAATACCAGAGATGATTGAATTCAGGGGCACCAACCACTGAGCCATTTTGTATTTTACTTAGAGACAGGGTCTCATTGAGTTGTTTAAGATTTCACTGAGTTGCTTAGCGCCTCACAGTTCTGAGACTGGCTTTGAACTTGCAATACTCAGCCTCTGGGATTTCAGGTGTGCAGCATTACGCCAGGCTGAATTCACTTTTGTCTTTATAATAAACCTATTCGATAGATTCTCTAACACCCCATTTACAGATGGAAAAACCAACAGCTGGTAATTAATCAAGCCAAACTTGAACCTGAGAAGTCTGCTTCAGAAACTGTATTCTTAATCATTTGGCCAACTGCCTCCTATAAAGTGTGTGTTTCCTTCTCCTTATAACTCTACTGTAACTTCTTATAACTATATTATTTTCTGCATTATTGGCCTTAAAATAAAGAATTGTATTTTATTTGTCTTTTCTTCTTTATACCAGGAACACAAGTGTGCTCTCAATGACTTTTTTCTTAATCTCTTACATTTGAGTGAATGAATATAATATTAGAAACCACTATCTTCACTTCCATTATTAGGCTGCATAGTTTTAAGGACGATATTCTGATGGGTGAAGAAACAATTTTGGACTAGTACATTAATTCTTTAGACAATGAAACTACTGTGCACTGGAAATGCTATGTTGTAAAAAAGAGTGATGCCAGAAAACAGAAGTCATGATAAAACAACCAAAGAAGTGTGATGTCCAATACAAGCAGGACACATCTAGAATATTTTGAAACAAGCCTTAAAGCAAAGTACTAAGAACAGCAACAGTTAACAGTTGGGAAACAACACCAGCAGACCTTAGGATAAACTAATCTAATAATGAAGCCAATATTTGACCAACTATTGGCTTTTAAATGACAAGATGTTTAACTATAAAAGGAAATGTTCATGCAACCAATTCATTCAATCAATATATATGTGTAGGACACAGTGCCAGGCAATATAAGTCAGGGCATTATGGGTATACAGAAATAGTCCTTGTAAACCCCAAAATGCACACAGGAACCATCTTCAGTGCTATCCAAATTCCCTAAAACAGACTGCAAATGCAATACCTAACAGATGCCCTAGAGGGTAATTCAGGTATGTTTTTCAATATTTGCACCCTAACTCCCTTAAAAGTCAGAATATTTCACATCTAATTCTTGGTTTTCTGGGGGGGGATCAAGAATTGATAAAACTGGGCTCAACTTCTCTGAAAAAACCAATAGACTAAAACTGAGTCATAGCTATGTTACTTCATTTAATGCTCACAACAATCCTATGGGAGATTTACTGTCAGAGTTACTACTGCCTCTGGTGCTGAGGAACTACTAACAGGTAAGGTCATGGAAAGTGAAAAAGTAGAAAGAGAGAACAGAGAAGAATGAGCAACATCATGTAGGTACGCTAAAAAAAAAAGAAAAAAAAGCCAACATAATGGTATGTTTCAAGAAGAGAAATAGTTGATAGTGTCTCATGTTGCAAGAGTTGAAGCTGGTGAAGACTAAGGTGTAATTTGAATAGGAAAGGTTAAGATTGCTCTTTGAAGAAATTTAATTGACAATAGGGATAAGAAAGGGCAGTCCCCATGAGAAGAAGGTAGGATCTATTTTATTACTAAAGTAGGAGGTAGATCTGTTAAGGTTGAGGTAGGTGAGTGATGCTAATCTTCACTTATAGAACAAGGCCAGGGGAAGTTATCCATAATGCCAAGAAATAGAAGACTGAAAAACATATATTAGGAAGTCATTGGTGACCTTATCTAGAATAGCATGAGTGAAATGAGTGGGCTAGGGATTGAGGACAGGGGTGAGAGGTTAGAATGAATGGATACAACTCCCTTGGGAAATATGAAAGGAAGCAGAGAAGGTAGCAGCTGCAGGTGGGGAATGAGAAGGATTTGAAGGGAACCCACATGAGTCTAGCTATGGATACAATTATGTTTAAATACTGAAGGGAAGGCATTAGGGTGACAGAGAAATAGAAGATACTGGGACCCTGGGTAGTAATGGGATCTCTAGAGCAAAATTCTGCAGAGAATTAGGGGAGGAATCTAAGAACTGAGATTGAAGGGGAGCTGAATGTTCTAAATAGACACTGAAGAATGAGAATAAACAAGGACAAGTGTGTGTACCCTGCAGCCAGGGCATACAACCATGAATTTATAATGGCTGCCTGCACAGCATATGACTTCTCTTTAAGGATTCCAGAAAACAGGCTGGATTCATTCTGGAAGAGGGTTTGCTAGCTAAGAGTGATGAAGTTCAATAGGTCAAGAGGGTAGAGACTACTGCAGTAACCTTGGGAGCAGATTTTTACACTTGCACATCAGAGCACTAATCTCTAGTATATATAAAGAACTCAAAAAGCTAAACACCAAAAAACAAATAACCCAATCAATAAATGGGCCAAGGAACTGAACAGACACTTCTCAGAAGATGATAT